GGGTTGTAGAGGGGTAGTTGTGGACGTGGGGGTTGTAGAGGGGTGGTTGTGGACGCGGGGTAGTGAAGGGGCGGGGTCGTGAAGGGACGGGGGTCGTGAAGGGAGGGGCGTCGTGAAGGGACGGGTCGTGAAGGGACGGGAGTCGTGAAGGGACGGCGGTCGTGAAGGGAGGGGGGTCGTGAAGGGACGGGGGTCGTGAAGGGAGGGGGTCGTGAAGGGACGGGGGTCGTGAAGGGACGGGGGTCGTGAAGGGAGGGGGGTCGTGAAGGGAGGGGGGTCGTGAAGGGAGGGGGGTCGTGAAGGGACGGGTCGTGAAGGGACGGGAGTCGTGAAGGGACGGCGGTCGTGAAGGGAGGGGGTCGTGAAGGGAGGGGGTCGTGAAGGGAGGGGGGTCGTGAAGGGGGGGGGGTCGTGAAGGGAGGGGGGTCGTGAAGGGAGGGGGGTCGTGAAGGACGGCGGTCGTGAAGGGACGGGGTCGTGAAGGGACGGGGGTCGTGAAGGGAGGGGGGTCGTGAAGGAGGGGGTCGTGAAGGGAGGGGGTCGTGAAGGGAGGGGGGTCGTGAAGGGAGGGGGTCGTGAAGGGAGGGGGTCGTGAAGGGAGGGGGGTCGTGAAGGGACGGGGGTCGTGAAGGGAGGGGGGTCGTGAAGGGACGGGGGTCGTGAAGGGAGGGGGGTCGTGAAGGGAGGGGGGTCGTGAAGGGACGGGGGTCGTGAAGGGACGGGGGTCGTGAAGGGAGGGGGGTCGTGAAGGGACGGGGGTCGTGAAGGGACGGGGTCGTGAAGGGAGGGGGTCGTGAAGGGACGGGGGTCGTGAAGGGACGGGGGTCGTGAAGGGAGGGGGGTCGTGAAGGGACGGGAATCGTGAAGGGACGGCGGTCGTGAAGGGACGGGGGTCGTGAAGGGAGGGGGGTCGTGAAGGGACGGGGGTCGTGGGTGATTGTAACCACTTTTTCTACACCCATGTAATAGACTAGTTCACCTTTCCTCCGTCAGGCTTCCCCAATACGTCACCACTTTACTGTGTCTATGTCTTGTCTGTCTGTCTCTTCTAGCTCTCTCTGTTGGTCTGATTTTGATCTATCTCTTACTTGGCCTATCTTGCTTGATCCATCTCTTGCTTGATCTATCTTGCTTGGTCTGTCTTTGTCTTCTCTCCCCCTTTGCTATCCCACTGTTATCCTCCTCGTTCTCCTCTTAATGTTTCTGCTCTCCCTCCTGCGACTCCCTCTTCTGACTCCCTCTTCCGACCCGCTCTTTTGACCCCCCTCTTCCTACTCCGTCTTCCTACTCCTTCTTCTGACTCCTTCCATATCTTCCCCTTCTCTCTTTCACCTAAGCCACCGCACAATATAATTAGTAACATAAAATTCATCCTAATTGTAAACACTGATGGTTTTACCTTAATGTGATTACCTAGGTGTCTGTCTGTCTCTCTCTCTCTCTCTCTCTCTCTCTCTCTCTCTCTCTCCTCTCCCCTCTCTCTCTCCTCTCTCTCTCTCTCTCTCTCTCTCTCTCTCTCTCTCTCTCTCTCTCTCCTCGCACACACACACACACACACACACACACACACACACACACACACACACACACACACACACACACACACGTATATACAATAGGCCTAGTGTCTAATCGACATGTTTCTTGGACAGAATGGAAACTAAGACACACACACACACACACACACACTGTGACCCGTCATTGCTGGGAGTTACCATCGTGACCCGTCACTGCTGGTGTTACTACCCCGTGTGACCCGTCACTGCTATTGTTACTACCTCCAGTGACCTGTCACTGCTGGTGTTTCTATCCCCTGTGACCCGTCACTGCTGGGGGTTACCACCCCTTATGACCCCCTCCCAGACTAGGCTTCCTGGTTGTTGGCTTGATCAATCAGACTGTGTCCGTTGTGCCCTCCTGTTGGGCCATTAATGCTAATTTACAAGCAGACTGGAACCTTCTACATCGTTCGTACACAGGTACCACCGGTACTCCAGTACATACGTACGCGCGCACACACACACACGCGCGCGCATGTACATACAACAGGCCTAGTGTCTAATCGACATGTGCCTAGGACCAAATGGTGACTAACACACACCATCCATGGAAGGAGGGGAGATAAGAAGAAATGACCTAGAAATATGTGAAGAGCTCAACATAAGATTTAAGGAAGTATTTTCGCTGGAGACAAAAAGGACTACAGGAAGCCGGAATGGTGGGATACACCAAGTGCTGGACACACTACATACAACCTAGGAGGTGAAGAGGCTACTAAGCGAACTAGATACCTCAAAGGCGGTGGGACCGGACATCTCTCCGTGGGTCCTGAGAGAGGGGACAGAGGCGCTGTGTGTACCACTAACAACAATCTTCAACTCATCTATCGAAATTGGGCAACTATCTGAGGTATAGAAGACAGCAAATGTAGTCCCATTCTTTAAGAAAGGAGACAGCATTAAACTACAGACCAGTGTCACTGACATGTATAATATGCTAAGTCATGGATTATCAGGAGATGCGTGGTTTGAGCACCTAGAAGGGAATGAGCTGATGCACGACAACCAGCACGGTTTTAGGGAAGGGCAATCCCGCGTCACAAACCTACTGAAGTTTTACGACAAGGCAATGGAAGAAAGACAGAGAGGGGTGGGTACCAGATTGTATTTTCTTACTCTGTAAGAAGGCTTTCGACAGTTCCACACAAGCGATTAGTGCAAAAGCTAGAGGAGTAGGCATGTATAACAGGAAAGGCACTGCAATGGCTCAGAGAATACTTGACAGGAAAGCAACAAAGAGTTATGGTACGCAACGAGGTGTCAGATTGAGCGCCTGTGACAAGCGGGGTTCCACAGGGGTCAGTCCTAGGGCCGGTGCTGTTTCTGGTATATGTGAATGACATGACGGAAGGGATAGATTCAGAGGTGTCCCTGTTTGCAAACGATGTGAAGCTAATGCGAAGAATTCAATCGGATGCGGATCAGGTAGGACTACAAAGGGATCTGGACAGGCTGCAAGCCTGGTGCAACAAGTGACTCCTGGAGTTTAACCTCACCAAATGCAAAGTCACGAAGATTGTGGAAGGGCAAAGAAGGCCGCAGATAGAGTACAGTCTCGGGGGCCAAAGACTACAAACCTCACTCAAGGAAAAGAATCTTGGGGTGAAATAATACCGAGCACATCCGAGGCGCACATCAGCCAAATAACTGCTGCAACATATGAGCGCCTGGCGAACTTAAAAGTAGTGTTTCGACACCTTAGTAAGGAATCGTTAAAGAGTCTGTACACCGTGTACGTCAGACCCATATTGGAATATGCAGCACCAGTTTGGAACCAACACCTGGTCAAGCAAGTCAAGAAATTAGAAAAAAAATGCAAAGGTTTGCAACAAGACTAGTCCCGGAGCTAAGGGGTATATCCTAAGAAGAAAGGTTAAGGGAAATCGACCTGAGGACACTGGAGGATAGGGATAGGATGTTTCAGAGATGGGACAGAGCAACAAGGGGTCATAATCAGAAGTTGAAGACTAAAATCAGTCACAGGGATGTTAGGAAGTATTTCTTCAGTCATAGAGTTGTCAGGAAGTGGAACAATCTGGAGAGTGATGTAGTGGAGACAGGATCCATACATAGCTTTAAGAAGAAGTACGATAAAGCTCAAGGAGCAGGAAGAGAGTGGACCAATTAGCGACCAGCGAAGAGGCGCGGCCAGGGGCTGTGATTCGACCACTGCAACCACAAATAGGTGAGCATGCACACACACACACACACACACACACACACACACACACACACATGTACACGTACACGTAGGAACTTCTCTATACTTATACTTGTGGCAGGTTTTGTACTCTCATGAACTTATAGTAAGCTCAGTTCCCTGTCATCATGTGTCTCTATGTTATTATTTTATTATTAGACTGTGGAATGAGAGATAATGGGGGGGGGGGGGGGGAGCATGATGAGGTCACATTGACAAGTGTAAACATGGCATGAGTACTCACTTGTTTGGGGTTGCAGAAATTTATATACCTCTTATGAGTTTCGAGAGCTTTTCTACTCTCGCAGCCCGGTCCTAGGCCGGTCTTGTCTGGTCAACAGGGTTGTTGACGCTGGCTACCCGCTGGCCCACATATCCATCACACACTGGTTGATTCGACACTTGTTGGAGATACTTGTCCAATTTCCTCTTGAGAACTAATACACTTGTCCAGGCAGTGTTTTTGATATATTTTGGTAAGGTGTTGAATAGTCCGGGATCCTCATTGTGTCCACGACGCCTCTACTTGTCACAGGGTTTATTTTATACTTCTTCCCATATCTCTGACTCCAGTATGTTGTTATAGCAGATTTGGGACCAAGCCCTCAAGCGCTTACCACGTATATATTATCATGTATCTGTCTCCTTCGCTTCACTGAGTACATATTTAAGACTTTAAGGCGTTCCCAGTAATTTGAATTTTTTGTTGTCCCTATGCGAGCTGTAAATAATCTCTGTATTTATTCCACCTCTGATTTCTTCGCTGCCCTGAAAGAGACCCTGAACACTGAATAATACTTTAAAGAGAAAGCACAAGCGATCTGAATAATGTCACCATTGCCACCATTTCCCTAATTTTGATAGTACTCATTATCCACCCCGTCACTTTTTTTTTTTTTTTTTGGCTGTCATGTTATTTGCCTTACTGTGTTCTTTGAAAAAAAGTCAACCAATAATTACTCCCAGGTTTTTCACACTGTTCCTTTCATTCTATTTGATGATCATCTTGGTTTTTGTATACAGTGTTATTTTTTGAGTTCTTCATTGATTTTTTTTACATATCTAAGTTGGAAGGAACTTATCACCATTGAACGTCATGTTCTCCATTGCTCACTGGAAAACACTTCTTTTATCTTCCTCCATTTTTTTTTTTTGTCTTTTATTGAAGTGGATTTTCATGTTTGTTTTGGTATTGGCAAATATACGTCTGCATATTTATAGAGGCTTTTGCATTTTTTCAGCGATGTCAGCGTACCAGAAGTTCTACAACCTGCGTACCAACGATTACTGGAAGGACGCTGCCTTCCTCTACGGCCAGGGACTAGTCTATTTCCACTTCAACGCCTTCCAGTGGTGAGTACTTCGCTTTCCTACTCAAGTTCTCACGTCTGAAGGGAAGATGGAAGTGGGAGGGAAGACAGGGAGGAAGGGGTAAAGACAAGGGACTTCTTGTCAACTGTGCACGCGGTAGGTGTACCCTACCTGTACGTGGTGAGTGTACCCTACCTGTACGTGGTGAGTGTACCCTACCTGTACGTGGTGAGTGTACCCTACCTGTACGTGGTGAGTGTACCCTACCTGTACGTGGTGAGTGTACCCTACCTGTACGTGGTGAGTATCCTACCTGTACGTGGTGAGTGTACCCTACCTGTACATGGTGAGTGTACCCTACTTGTACCTGGTGAGTGTACTCTACCTGTACGTGGTGAGTGTACCCTACTTGTACGTGGTGAGTGTAACCTACCTGTACGTGGTGAGTGTACCCTACCTGTACGTGGTGAGTGTACCCTACCTGTACGTGGTGAGTGTACCCTACCTGTACGTGGTGAGTGTACCCTACCTGTACGTGGTGAGTATCCTACCTGTACGTGGTGAGTGTACCCTACCTGTACGTGGTGAGTGTTCCCTACCTGTACGTGGTGAGTACCCTACCTGTACGTGGTGAGTGTACCCTACCTGTACATGGTGAGTGTACCCTACTTGTACGTGGTGAGTGTACCCCACCTGTACGTGGTGAGTGTACCCCACCTGTACGTGGTGATTGTACCCTACCTGTACGTGGTGAGTGTACCCTACCTGTACGTGGTGAGTGTACCCTACCTGTACGTGGTGAGTGTACCCTACCTGTACGTGGTGAGTGTACCCTACCTGTACGTAGTGAGTACCCTACCTGTACGTGGTGAGTGTACCCTACCTGTACATGGTGAGTGTACCCTACTTGTGCGTGGTGAGTGTACCCCACCTGTACGTGGTGAGTGTACCCCACCTGTACATGGTGATTGTACCCTACATGTGCGTGGTGAGTGTACCCTACCTGTACGTGGTGAGTGTACCCTACCTGTACGTGGTGAGTGTACCCTACCTGTACGTGGTGAATGTACCCTACCTGTACGTGGTGAGTGTACCCTACCTGTACGTGGTGAGTGTACCCTACCTGTACGTGGTGAGTGTACCCTACCTGTACGTGGTGAGTACCCTACCTGTACGTGGTGAGTGTACCCTACCTGTACATGGTGAGTGTACCCTACTTGTGCGTGGTGAGTGTACCCCACCTGTACGTGGTGAGTGTACCCCACCTGTACATGGTGATTGTACCCTACATGTGCGTGGTGAGTGTACCCTACCTGTACGTGGTGAGTGTACCCTACCTGTACGTGGTGAGTGTACCCTACCTGTACGTGGTGAATGTACCCTACCTGTACGTGGTGAGTGTACCCTACCTGTACGTGGTGAGTGTACCCTACCTATACGTGGTGAGTGTAGCCTACTTGTACATGGTGAGTGTACCCTACCTGTACGTGGTGATCGTACCCTACCTGTACGTGGTGAGTGTACCCTACCTGTACGTGGTGAGTGTATCCTACCTGTACGTGGTGAGTGTACCCTACCTGTACGCGGTGAGTGTACCCTACCTATACGTGGTGAGTGTACCCTACTTGTACATGGTGAGTGTACCCTACCTGTACGTGGTGATTGTACCCTACCTGTACGTGGTGAGTGTACCCTACCTGTACGTGGTGAGTGTACCCTACCTGTACGTGGTGATTGTACCCTACCTGTACGTGGTGAGTGTACCCTACATGTACGTGGTGAGTGTACCCTACCTGTACGTGGTGAGTGTACCCTACCTGTACGTGGTGAGTGTACCCTACCTGTACGTAGTGAGCGTATCCTACCTGTACGTGGTGAGTGTACCCTACTTGTACGTGGTGAGTGCACCCTACCTGTACGTGGTGTTTGTACCCTACCTGTACGTGATGAGTGTACTCTACCTGTACGTGGTGAGTGTACTCTACCTGTCCGTGATGAGTGTACTCTACCTGTACGTGGTGAGTGTACCTGTACGTGGTGAGTGTACTTACCTGTACGCGGTGAGTGTACTCTACCTGTACGTGGTGGGTGTACTCTACCTGTACGTGGTGAGTGTACTCTACCTGTCCGTGATGAGTGTACTCTACCTGTACGTGGTGAGTGTACTCTACCTGTACATGGTGAGTGTACTCTACCTGTACGTGGTGAGTACTCTACCTGTACGTGGTGAGTGTACTCTACCTGTACGTGGTGAGTGTACTCTACCTGTACGTGGTGAGTGTACTCTACCTGTACGTGGTGAGTGTACTTACCTGTACGTGGTGAGTGTACTCTACCTGTACGTGGTGAGTGTATTCTACCTGTACGTGTTGAGTGTACTCTACCTGTACGTGGTGAGTGTACTCTACCTACCTAGTCATATCTTGAAGGGTTGTTCATGATGATTGTTCCATTCTGGGTATATTTCTGGTGCCATACAGGGTGCCATGTATGTAGGTATCACTGGTGGTGTGCTGGGTGCCATGTATGTAGGTATCACTGGTGGTGTGCTTGGTGCCATGTATGTAGGTATCACTGTTTTTGTGCTGATACCATATATGTAGGTATCACTGGTGGTGTGCTGGGTACCTGGTGTGTGGGTATATCACTGGTGGTGTGCTGGGTACCTGGTGTGTGGGTATATCACTGGTGGTGTGCTGGGTACCTGGTGTCTGGTATATCACTGGTGGTTTGTGGTACCTTTGTGTTGGGTATACACTGGTGGTGTGCTGGGTACCTGTGTGTGGGTATATCACTGGTGGTGTGCTGGGTACCTGGTGTCTGGGTATATCACTGGTGGTGTGCTGGGTACCTGGTGTCTGGGTATATCACTGGTGGTGTGCTGGGTACCTGGTGTGTGGGTATATCACTGGTGGTGTGCTGGGTACCTGGTGTGTGGGTATATCACTGGTGGTGTGCTGGGTACCTGGTGTGTGGGTATATCACTGGTGGTGTGCTGGGTACCTGGTGTCTGGGTATATCACTGGTGGTGTGCTGGGTACCTGGTGTGTGGGTATATCACTGATGGTGTGCTGGGTACCTGGTGTGTGGGTATATCACTGGTGGTGTGCTGGGTACCTGGTGTGTGGGTATATCACTGGTGGTGTGCTGGGTACCTGGTGTCTGGGTATATCACTGGTGGTGTGCTGGGTAACCTGGTGTCTGGGTATATCACTGGTGGTGTGCTGGGTACCTGGTGTCTGGGTATATCACTGGTGGTGTGCTGGGTACCTGGTGTGTGGGTATATCACTGGTGGTGTGCTGGGTACCTGGTGTGTGGGTATATCACTGATGGTGTACCCACCAGTGGGTACCCACTGGTGGTGTACCCACTGGTGGTGTACATCACTGGTGGTGTGCTGGGTACCATGTATATAGGTATCACTGGTGGTGTGCTGGGTACCTGGTGTGTGGGTATATCACTAGTGGTGTGCTGGGTACCTGGTGTCTGGGTATATCACTGGTGGTGTGCTGGGTACCTGGTGTGTGGGTACATCACTGGTGGTGTGCTGGGTACCATGTATATAGGTATCACTGGTGGTGTGCTGGGTAACTGGTGTGTGGGTATATCACTAGTGGTGTGCTGTGTACCTGGTGTGTGGGTATATCACTAGTGGTGTGCTGAGTACCTGGTGTGTGGGTATATCACTGGTGGTGTGCTGGGTACCATGTATATAGGTATCACTGGTGGTGTGCTGGGTAACTGGTGTGTGGGTATATCACTAGTGGTGTGCTGTGTACCTGGTGTGTGGGTATATCACTAGTCGTGTGCTGAGTACCTGGTGTGTGGGTATATCACTGGTGGTGTGCTAGGTACCTGGTGTGTGGGTATATCATTGGTGGTGTGCTGGGTACCTGGTGTATGGGTATATGACTAGTGGTGTTCTGGGTACCTGGTGTGTAAGTATCACTGGTGGTGTGTTGGTATATCACTAATGGTGTGCTGGTATCAAGTGTGTAGGTATATCACGGGTGGTGTGCTGGGTACCTGGTGTATGGGTATATCACTAGTAGTGTGCTGGGTACCTGGTGTGTAGGTATCACTGGTAGTGTGCTAGGTACCAGGTATGTAGGTACATCACTGGTGGTGTGCTGGGTACCAAGTGTGTAGGTATATCACTAGTTGTGTGCTAGCTACCTCTTCTTGTCCAGTAGTATGTATGACCTTCCTTCACTTAGTGCTGATACCAAGTGAAGCTCTTGTACAGTGTCTTACTGACAACGACGAGAAAGAGAGGAGGAGGATCAGAAGGAATGGAGAAACAGTCGAAAATGAAAAGCAGGGAAGGGGGAGGGTGAGAAGGAAGTCGAAGATTGTGATAATAACGATAATATGGCATAACATTACTTCCGCTCTTTTATTTCACCGTGACAGGAAGGAAAGTATTGATGGAGGACAAAACGTGTATGGAGCTCCAGCTCTTGATCCCACCTCTTAACCTTCAGTCGGCTGTGTGTATGTGCCTGTGTACGTACACAGCTGTATTCAGTAACATCCCAGTTAAGCTGTCATGTCTTTCCCTGAAAAGCATTATGTCCCTCTGAATTATTTAAACCATTTTTTTATTTTTTCCGTCACACGTGAAAGCTGCCGTTCAGTCTAGCTGGTGTGTCGTGTATGTTGTCAGCTTTCTTATTCTTATAAGGTTTAGTATGTGTGTTTGTGAGTGGTGGTTTTTAGCTAAGGAGCAGAGCCCTCATGTCATACTGCCGCCTTTGTTTAGTGTGTGTATGTGTATGTGTGTGTGTGTGTGTGTGTGTGTGTGTGTGTGTGTGTGTGTGTGTGTGTGTGTGTGTGTACGTGCGTGCTTGTGCAAGTGTGCTCACACAAGTGTCACTTAGTTGTGTCAAGGTCACCAGGTTTCTTCCCTTTTTTACTATCGACTTAATTGATATCTGGTATAGAGGGCCTGATCGTACCTGTTATTAAAGCTGTGGTGTTTACTTCTACCATCTCGTCATCTGGTTCATTTTATATCATATTTCAAGAAATATTTCTTAAG